CGGTATTCTTAAGAAGTGGGGTTGTTAGAATTTGTTTTTATTGAGGCTTGTTGACAATGTGCTGCTAGCTCTGTATATTTATTCTTAGGGTCAGAATGAAGCAAAATATCTATGTAAAAATATTCTGTAGTTCAGACATAGTTAATAACTTGATGATGTAAAATGTTTATCCTTTTGATGCTTTGTGTGTCATAACTTTCATTGTGACCACAGGCTTGTTCTGTCCACTGCAGAAGGAAGGCCAAATTTGGTGCTGCCATCCATTGCTGTCTTGAGCCAAATAAGATCAGACAGGTCCTTCAAAGGCAATGTGTTCATCCCTTCATTATTTTGATTGCAGCTCTTGCAGTATTTATTACACAATGTTAAGGGTGTCCATTCTGTTGTAAATTCAATCTATTTTCCATTTCTTCTTTCTAAAATGGATTGTCCTTTTTCATCACCTGGAAGATACCTTTTACCTTGGTTTAGTCTTCCTACCCTTTTTTTTTAATTTCCTTATCACCATGTGATACCATGCATATATCTTTTATTTTTTCTTAACTTGCCCAGCTTTTAGTTTGTGTCACTTTTCTTATTGAGCTTCTGTATTTGTTTCAGCTGTTTAAAAATATCTCCATGTATTACTCTTTCAACACTGCTTCTGTTTCTGTAAAGTCAAAAGTCTCTAATGGCCTACAAAATGCTTGTGGTACTTGCTGAACTTCAGAACCTGGTTGGCTGTCTGTCAGTGATTTATGAACTGTTTCTGATGTCATGGTTGATTAAACTCCTGAAGTGAATACACCAGTGCTTACAAGAAAACCTTACATCACAATGACAATAGGCTGAGTTCTTGAGGCTATTTCCCTTTTTATGAAAGAAAACATCCAAGTTGCCGCATAAGCAATCTTCCTTTTCCTCACATATTTTACAAAAAAATGTAAGTTGTAGCCGTCCCTACCATCCAGTAGAGTGCCTGGAAAAACTCATTCTTGTTTTTGTATCTTTGACCCCTCGGTGTTCATGTGAGGAAATCCAACTTTTCCTTTGAATTCATGGAGATAAATTTCATATTGAAGGACAATACTGTAAGACAGTGTTTCTCAAACTGGGGCCACTGCTTGTGTAGGGAAAGCCCCTGACGGGATGGGACGGGTTGTTTACCTGCCCCATCCACAGGTCCAGCCGATCGCGGCTCCCACTGGCCCTGGTTCGCTGCTCCAGGCCAATGGGGGCTGCGGAAAGCGGCGCGGGCCGAGGGACGTACTGGCCACCGCTTCCCGCAGCCCCCATTGGCCTGGAGCAGCGAACCGCGGCCAGTGGGAGCCGCGATCGGCCGGACCTGCGGACAGGGCAGGTAAACCAACCTACACAAGCAGCAGCCCCAGTTTGAGAAACATTGCTGTAAGACCTCCTTAGCTTTCATAATGTCTTTTATCTTACCTCATTTTCATCTGTTCACGCACAGGTACTGGTTACAGTTGTTTCATTTTCTGAGGAGAATAAATGTCCACTTAGAACTGCACTGGTACCAAGAAACTCAAGCATTAGTTTACTTCATTGTTGTCTAAGAAAGTTCACTATTGTGAACTCATCCTGCTCTCACCGTTCATCATAATTATTTTATTATCTTGTATGAACTAACAAACCCTGTATTGTTTCTGGCATTTAAATCCTTTCCCACTTTAAATTTGTCTGATTATTTCACTCTCTTTGTTTGTTAGGGAGCTTTTTGTATGATTTCTGATTTCTGCAGTTCTCCTGTCAATGATGCATTCTTTTTCTTTATGACTTTTTCAATTTGATTTATATCTAATATTTTAGGACTGGGCTGTTGGGTTTTTGTGAGTAGTTTTTTGTGTTTCTTGCCAGATTTTCAAGTCCCGTATGTTTTTTTATTTTGTTTTGTTTTTAATGAGCAGCTCTCTTGAGGCTTCATCTTATGTCCCCCTTCTTTACTGTCCTTCAGTCACTTCCTGTACTTTAGTTCCATGCAGACGTGTGTCTTGCTGTTCATGGAACTATCAGGGCTGACTTCACCATATCTACATTCATTATTTTTTTCTATTTGGAAATGTGTTTCTTATTAGAATCATAGGTGCTCCTTTTTTCTTTTCTTTCTTGTGCCCTGTTCCAAGCTGTGGAAGTCTCTCTCACAGGATCTTGATTTAATTCTTCCTTACAGCAAATTTCTTTCTTTATGTAAGTGACATGCAGTTTGAATATGAGCTTGATTGATCTTTGTATTTGTAAATTTTAACATTTAGCTGGCAACCTGGTCACTGATGTCATTGAATTCCATTTCCTGAAAGACTTGTGTACCTAAAAGCCTAATACCACATTCCTCTTTCATTTGTATTAGTAGTAGTAGTAATGGTGCAGTAGTGCTCAAAGGGCCTATTCAGACTTGTAGTCCCAGTGGGTTAGGTTCTCTGTGAATACATGGTACCTGACCCAAATAACTGACAAACCAATTTAATACAAAACACAAGTGAGCGTGACAAACAAATGAGAGGAAAGTGGACAGAAGAGAAGACTTGTTTTGTGGGTTTAGAATCCATTAGTTCTTCATTTGCTCCCCAAGATACCTTTGCTGTATCTGATAATATCCCACAACTTTTGTTCACTTCTGTTTGTATCATCAGCCAGAAACATGCTGACTTTGTACCAGTGATTTAGTATGTTCAACTTTAGTGAGTCTGAGATCTCTCTGCCACCTACTCCTCCTTCCCTGAATCAAATGGAACACTTCCAGTGAACTTATTTTCCATGGAGAAGGCAGGGTATAAGCAATAAGAAAGTTCTTGGTCACTGTAGATGCACAAGATGGAGATCTTCACAGAACATCGAAGTGTATGATAATCAATAGGCTGATCCTGCAAATGAGTAACTTGGTGGAGTCTCACTCCCCTGAGTATAGTAAATGTATATGCATTCTTAGAATCAGGTCTGAATTTTTTTAATTACAGTATCATGGTGATTGGAGCTGGTTGAAAAGATGCAAAAATTTTCACTAAAATTTCATCTTTTTTGTCAAAATCTCAAAATGTTCCATCCAGCTGTAATTGTTGATATTTTGTTCACACACCTTCCTTAGTGATGAACAGAACTGTAAAGAGAACTCTCTACTGTCTGCTGGACATGAAACTATTAAATCTGCCATAGTCTATAGATATGTTCTCTTTCCCTGTTGTACATCACTTATGGGATGGTAAGCAGTCTGCAACACCTTCACCTGGATGCTTAAAATCAGACTTATAACTGATAAGAATGTTGGCATGAGTTGAACAATACAGTAGTAACACCAGCAATGTTAAATATAGTCTGTTTTCTTAATGCAGTTTTTAAAAAAAGATCTAGTAGACAACCATCACGTAAATAGTACTATATGTACATGTACGCAAATTAAAAACAAAACAACCCGTCTAGACCAGTGGTTCTCAAAGCCAGTCTGCTGCTTGTTCAGGGAAAGCCCCTGGCAGGCTGGGCCGGTTTGTTTACCTGCCGTGTCCGCAGGTTCGGGCGATCGCAGCTCCCACTGGCCGCGGTTCACCGCTCCAGGCCAATGGGGGCTACGGGAAGGGTGACCAGCACATCCCTTGGCCCGTGCCGCTTCCCGCAGCCCCCATTGGCCTGGAGTGGCTAACCGTGGCCAATGGGAGCCGCAATTGGCCAAACCTGCGGACGCGGCAGGTAAACAAACCGGCCCGGCCTGGCCTGGCCTGGCAGGGTTTTTCCCTGAACAAGCGGCGGACCGGCTTTGAGAACCACTGCTCTAGACACTAATGGCTCAACATACTAGTCGATAAATGCCTGTCTGCAAAAGACTGCTTTTGAACCATATACAGTATTATCTACTAATAACTTTAAACCATATTGGTATGTGTAGGAAAACTGTCTCAGAAGAACTATGCATGTGCACTTACTAGTTTTCAAAATCAAATATCAGATTTATTTATTTTTTTACTTTTACCAGTACCTTTTAAAAATGCGTATACTTTGTTATAGACTAGTTGTTTGCTAAACTTAATTACTTTAAATCCAAGTATTGTTGCCTTTTTGGTCATGCAGGCAACAGAAAGCATCTTAAAGTTCTTTTTCTTTTCTTATTATTTTTAAACACTCCTTTATTACTTTGAAAAATAGTTTAAAGGAAGGTTTTGAGGTTGTTTTGAAAGTTTGTTTAAAAAGAGAGCATTCTCCTTTGCTTTGTATGTTAAATTTTAGGCCAGAGTGAATTGTTGCAGCCAAGTTTATGTAGGGCCTGATCCAAAGCCCTTTGAAATATATGGAAAAAGCTCCTGTTGATTTCAGTGGACCTAGAATCAAGCCCACAGGCCAAACTATTTAAGACAAGAGCCTATAAAATGTGACCAGACTTTCAATAGGAGAATTGAAAATCAGGCCACTTTTTTAGGGGTATGGATTTAGAAACCTGATTTTCAGCTCCTATTTTTGAAAATTTTGCAGATAGATCCTATAGTGTTTGTTGAGATTTAGAGAAGTGTAGGTTTGGGCATACAGAAATGCTCCTTTCTTTATCTGTGGAAGGCTTATTTGATCATCAGTATCACATCTTGGCTTTTCTTCCTCTCAGCAGTAACCATTCTCTTTTTCATAGAAGTGCCAAATGCAAACTATTGCATTATTCTTTTCATAAATATGATTACAAAGGAAGAAAAATGTCTATCCCTCAGTAGGGTTTGCAAAACCAGCCTTAAGAGGCTAGAAACTGTTATACATATCTGGCTTTAAACATTGTAAAATAAAAATAAAGTGAAATAGTAACAGCTCGGCTTGAGAGGAGACATTAGAGTCCCAAACATTTAACTGATCTAGGTGACATTTATGGGCTATGGCCATAGTATTCTCTTTATTTTATGTAAAGGTGATATTCACATGCTTTTGTCTGACTAATAAGCAAAGGGAAAGGGCATTTCTCTAAGCCTTGTTTAACGATTAAGCATTGCTTACAGTACTCTTTATTTTTCCCCACCCTATCCCGCTCCTTCTTGTAGAATCACATCGGGAATTCCTTCATAGGCCTGCTTCTGGATATGTGCCAGAGGAGATCTGGAAGAAAGCTGGTAAGAATTGTTTAAAAACATGAGCTTAGTGTTCTGGCAGCTGTGTGCAGTTGTTAATGCACTGATGTGAGGAATGAAAAGAAAGGGCTTACTAGTAACAAAAAGAAATTTTATTTAATAATCTTAAACTGGAACTGATCAGAACATGAAATAATCTTTATTATAAAAACATCTGCCACTACAGTTTAGGGGCTGTCAATATTTCCATTAAATAACCCAATTTTCAGGGGTTATAATGGCTTGAGGCTGAAAGTTGATATACAAAAGTTTCCGTCTGTGAGCAATTTAAAAAAAATGAACTTTGACAATTTTTTAAGTTTGAAGATTTCCACACCATTAACCTCCAAGGGAAAAGAAAACATAAATATGTACTTTTTTTAAAAAAAATGGAAAAATACAGAGTTGGGATTGTAATGTGAAAAAATGTGTAATATTTCATGGCTGTTAATCAACAGTCAGATTTAAAACACAGCTCTTAAACACAGTAATTTCAAAGATGGATACAATGTTGCATCTGCACAACTGCGCTCATATTTGTTGCACCAGCATTTGCACACACTAAGTCCCTAATGTTGTGATCTGTTCTGCATTGGCAGAACAGTACAGAACTCCTTGAACTCCATGAAGTTTGGCATGAGCACAGGGGTTCACTGGAAGGGATCATATTGCTGTCGTGGGATGAAATCTTGGCTTCATTGAAGTCAACAGAAATTTTGCCATTGACTTCAAAGAAGCTAGGCTTTCATCCTCAGGGCGTGAGCTCAGCTACCAGTTTGTGTGCACTCAGGCCTGATTTTTGCATGTGCAACTGTCTGCTTGATTGTTCAAATGCTAGGGTGCAGAGGCACATTTATGTCCCATTGCTACTGCCTTTGATAAGGTGACCCATAATTTTAATGATTAAATGGCAGATACAGCAGTTTCAGGATTTTCTACTTTTTCCTATAACTGCTTTTCATTAGAGTTTTTATTTATTTATTTATTTATTTGTTTGTTTGTTTGTTTATTTATTTATTTATTTATTTATTACGGAACAAAAATACACAATGTTATGAAGGCATATTGATGCAATAGACATAGTCATGTCATTTAATGTACTGTGGATTCATCTTTTGGAATACACATTTGTTGATATGTGTTCAAAGCATATTTTATTTAGCTATCACAGTTTATGCTATAACTAACGCAACTCATTCAATATACAATTTTGTCCGATGTCCAAAGGAAACTTAGCCCTAAAATGTGATGCTGTGGTATGTCAGTGGCACGTTTGTTTCCCTTTTTCCTTTATTTATGGTAGTATTTTAATTTAAAAATAAGAAACAATGATCAAATATGATGGAGTCCAAAAAAACATAATTTACAGCAAAGTTGCATAGAGGAATTTCTGAAATTGAAACTTTATTCTTCATAGGGTCTTTAGGTTTTGCTGCTTGGCAAATTCTGTAAACTTGACATATCAAATTATTTGCAATTCCTAGACACAGGAAAGTGAAAGAAGAATGGTGCTTCACTCTTTACTAGAGATGGCAGCAAAATTTGGGGCTGTTATCAAATTTCAAATGTTCTCAAGTTCTGGGCCCAGATCATCAGCTGGTGTGAAAGGAGCTGTGTCAGTTAACACCTTATGAACATTTGTCCTATTGGGTTGTTTTGGATCTGGGATTTTGATTCAG